CAAATGTTAGCATGCTAACACGTATCAAGCAGGCATTATATTAGCATGTTATTTAAATTTTAGTGACTATAAGAATCTACAAGATCTCCTGGACATATTTCTTAGCAAAAGCTGGTGAAAGAAGGGTTAAAAAGTAAAATCCTTGACATACATCACAATGATATTGAGCAGGTTTCCAGTGAGGTGCCACTGAGACTAAATTACACAACCTACTTACTGAGGAGCAAAAACAGCATGAGGACATATGAAATCTTATTTTCTATTAGTCAGAGTCACATCAAAAAGTCTCCATTGGCTGTAGTCCACAGTTAAATTAAAATGAACAATAGGGAGTCAGTTATCTGCCTCAGCACAGCTCCATAGGTCCCTGACCAGCTGCTAAAAAGCCTTCTTAGTTTGAAATGTGTAATGATAAAATAATGATGAGGTTAAGAGCACAGATTGTCAGCTTGGGTTTGAGAAGATTTTAAGCCAAATTGGACCAGAAATGTAAAAACAAACACACTTTTTGTTCATATTCTTCCTTTTCAGAATGCCAAAAACATTTGGATAGATTATAGAGACAGAATATGATTATATTCAGTAAAACAGCCTCTCCATTCAGTCTGAGCTAAAATATGTAACTGCCCTTTTGTAAAGTCTTGATCTCATATTGTCAATATCATATTTTTTAGTTTCTTTCTCCAGCCCATTATGATGTCGTGGTTATCAATCCTCCTTTGAGTCCTCATGCTCCTGTGGTGAACCTTTTAGGGATCTGCAAAAGTATACTTTATTTGCAAGTTTTCCTAAAATGCAGGGAGATTAAAGCACAGCAGCACAATCATGAAGCTGAGTGTTTCTGAACTGAGCTAAAATCCACCCTCTAACCACATGCTGTCATTTCATATCCAAAGTAATACGAGTCTGAAGCCAAAAGAAATAAATGTGCTACTGTCCAAATCCTTAAGGAGCTCACTCATTCTCACATGCTAACCAGTATGCTTCACACTTCCTCAGTCATTCTGCTCCTCTGAGTCCACACGGTAGTCTGTCTGCTTGAGACACATTTGCAACTAATACCGTCCCTTTACTTGAATTTGACCAGCGTGTTTGGATTGTTCTCTGTCAGAGGCTTTCTGGCTGAGTGCATTTTCCGCTCCCTCCTGCCCGTTCTCCACACTGAAATGCCTCTGATGTATGCGCAGAGGATCAAATTAAAAGCACACAATTATCCGTCTCAGCGATCAGGGGACTCTGACCCTGTCACAGCTGAAGACAAGCATTTAAACCAAACAATGCAAGAAGCGACGGCTCACCTCTGATACCCACAGATAGAGCTGGAGTGGGTGTGATTCACAAACAGGCGGACTTCGAGTGGTTTTGTCTTCAGCACACCCATGCTTTTAATGGATTGATTTACCGCTCTCATTGGTTCACCTCACTGGGCTCTGCTGTGTGTACTCTGTGTGTGTGTGTGTGTTCTGCCGGCCAGATTGAGTTTCAACACTTTTTTCCTCTCAGCCAGAGACCATCTTGAAATGCTTCTTCTCGAAGCAAGAATCTTATTACAGAGCGATTACGGGATTGTGCATGCATCCTCAGGATTTTAAGGTCAAGCGAGTTTGATTTCCATCCATGAGAAGAGACTTTATGATAGTATAGACTATAAACACAAAGTCTAGGCTTTACTTCTAGCGCTGGTTGTGTTTTTGGTGTTTAAATACAGTGTGCAAAAGCAAAGAAAAGCTTCATTTGTTTAAAAAAAACTGCGTCTTATTTTGCGGTTGACACAATTGGATGTTCTCACACATAAAGCGATCAGCTGCCGTGCAAGTGTTGTTCGGTCATGAATATTTAAATAGATTGAAACCAGTTACATACGGGATTAAAAGAGCTCTGTTACCAACAGTTGGTGCTGCAGATGAAGTAAATGCATATAGAAACAAAAAGACTGGCTTTTACCATGCCTCATTTCTGCTTCTTGCATGCTTTACACATGAAAGACAAAGATATGAAAACTCATCCATGTGTGGATCAGTAGCTCTCCATGCTAATATTTCAGCATACATAATAGCATGGCTCAGGAATTATTGCTAAATTGCCAAACGAGAACTTGTAGCAGTTAAAACAAAATATTAAAGTTATGTACTGTTATACACTTTATATGATTTGAGTGTTTTGCCGTTATTAATGTAATTTTAGTGACATATTATGTATATAGACTTACTACTGCCACAATAGCCCCTTTTGGGAATGTCATCTATTGCATGGTAGACAGTTCCAGATGCTTCTTGTAGAAAAGCTTGGGGACCCAGCTGTGGGTTGCGCTTTAATGGAGGTGGGGAAGTTAACCAGCTGTGCATTTGCCAAACCAAATGGTTGGTACTCATCCTTAAAGCCATCTCCACTGTAAAACCACAAAATGCGGTTTGGAAACCCCTCAGATAAGTAAGTAAGTTTATCTTTGTGTCCAGTTTTCTAGTGTGCCTTCTTCACGTGATTCTGGTGCTCACAGATGCCCACAGAGGCTGGAGAATGCCCAGTGGAACTACAGCTGGGTGAGAACCACAGTCTTACTGAGAGTTTTTCAGCCTCAAGAGGCAACAATCTGCCCCTGCCTGGTTAGACACAACTAGTCACACAAAGGTGAGAGGGTGTTTTCCTATTACGTACAATAGTATGACTGCCCCACCTCTTCATTCCCCCGCCACTTAGCTTTTTATATTAGTTTGTTCTTTGTAC